GGGCTTGCTGAGCCCACCACTGAGACCCAGGTGGTGACGCAGGCGTGTAATCCCAGCGCTGGGGAGGCTGAAAACAAGAGAATCACTAGGAGTCCGAGCTGTAGTGAGACCCTGTACAGAAAAAAAGAAAGTATTTAAAAAAAGAAAAAGAAAATCTACTCTTACTCCCATAAGTTGACCTGGGTAAGGGATAAACCAAGTTCTAAGGTTTCTAGTGTAGAAGTCCTATAGAAACAGACTCTTTCTTCCTCCCAGCTACACCCTGTTATAAAATGTAGTGACTCCAACCTGAACTATTTGCGAGCCAATTCTCAGTACAGTTTTTCCTAAAGAAAAGGATCTTTAAAGCCTTAGAAGTTTCTTGCAGAAAAGTCTTTAAAGAATAAGGCCACAGGAAAGGTTTGCGGAGGCCGGAGGGCTGTGTGGCCTGACGCGGGGAAGCACCAGGGCACGGAGCTCCGCATCCGCCCAGGGACCCGGTCTGGGGCCGCGACCAGGCCAGGCCAGGGCGGAGCTGCGCGTCCGGAGTCCGGGCGGGGCGCGAGCTGGCGCCGCCCAAGGGCCGCCCGGGCCCAGAGACGCGGCGGTGTGGCCATGGGGCGGCTGGTGGCTCTGGGTGTGCTGGGGATCGCGCTGGCGCTGCTGGGCGAGAGGCTGCTGGCGCTCAGGTAGGTTGCGCCGGACGCTCGCGGTCCCCGCGCAGGGCGGCGGCGGGGCTTGCAGGGCCGGGCAGGCGGGATCCGGGGGGCGGCGCAGAACCGCCATCCCTCTCCGCGCTGCAGCTCCTCCGCCCATCCATCCCTTCACTTTCTAAAAAGTTTGTAGGCCTTTGCTGCTCAGCAGCTTCCGCCGCACCAGGATGGCAGGGGGGGCGTTTTGCAACTGCTCAAGGGTGAGACGACTACTTGCAGTTGAAAACAAAACTGTAATTCATGCGCTGAGACTTTAACGACAAAGTTTACTTCTGGTCATTGGTGCTGCTTCCCTCCGCGGCTGGAAACAGTCCGGTCTTTAATAAAGTTGCCCTCCTTCCCTCTTCCTGTGTATCGGAGGAACGCTTCAGCCGGCTTCTCTCGGCGCTTGGCGCAGCCTACAAAGCCCCTTGGGCTGCCCCTGTGCTTACATCACTTCCGTATTTGTTTCTTCACCTGGAATCCCCAAAGAAGCCGCAAAGCCGGACGTCTCATAATCTCGTTACAGTGGAAACTTTTTGCTGGTTAGACATCACGGTTCCTAAATTACCACTGCAAAGTTTGTAGACTTCCTTGCAAGAGTTCCAGAAATAGGCCTACTATTATATAAATATAGGAGAGGAGAGAAATGAAATACTTGACTGAAACACTACGACCAGGACAAGTAGAGTTGAGCCCTGTAGGTTTATAGGACGAGATTACCTCTTGGTAATCGCCACTGGCAGGTTTGGTCTCTACCTATAACCGGGATGGAGGAGGCCATAGGAGGGCCTAAGGCCCGGGTGTTTGGAGACGAGCAGATGGACCAGCTCGAGGACAGCATGAAGTCACAAGGGGGAGAGGTTAGTAGAGACACGGGAAGGGTAGACTTGAAGGTAAGTTGAAAAGTTGGCCCTTTACTAGGCACCAGAGAAGTTTCCACGACTTGTTTATTGCTCAGCAGGAACCCAGCATCACCACGTTGTGTTACAGAAATGAGCTGCAAGCACACAGCAGTGCTTCTGCTTACCCCGGATCGCCTCAGAGACTGAGTGACACCACCAGAGAGGCTGACCCGTCTGGCCTGGGTGGGCCCGGGCCCTGGTTTGCTTGTTTGTTTGTCTTTGCTCTGGGGTGTAGTTCAGTGGAGGTGCACTTGTCCAGCACATGTGAAGCTCTGGATTCCATCCCAGTCACAGCAAAAACCTCTCCTGATAATTCCGGAGTGCAGTCAGGGTTGAGAACTACTGAAAGAGAGAGGAGACACAGGGAAACCAGGGAAGGTATGGCAGTGGTTCAGCAAGCACAACAGGGACCCAAAGTATAGTGGCACGGGTGAGGGAGAGGTCAAAAGCCATGCGTCTTGCCAGACAGCTGCCCTACCCCATAGCTGTTGCTGACTCGGCTGGGGAAGGGGTTGGACTCGGAGAGTGTGTGTATGCAGAGGGCGGCTCAGGTGGGGAAGGAATGCTTGTTGGTAGGCAGTGGACACCCTGATGTTAGTTGACATGCGATATAAGTGCTCATGCTGGTTCTGCAGACCATTCACAGGGGTGACTATTTTGTGTTACGTTTTCCTTTGGATTGACACAGTAAGTGTACGTATTTATGGGGTGCAATGTAACACATGGTATAATGATCAAATCTGGGTAACTAGCATAGCCATTAATTTAAGTAGCTTTAATTTGTGTGTGTGTGTGTGTGTGTGTGTGTGTGTGTATAATATCCAGAATCCTTTCTTCAACCCCTCTGAACTACACACTGTTAAGAAAGCCACCCTCCTGAACCGTAGTGTGCAAGCCAGAATGTATCTAGTGGTACCTCCACCGCCAGGCTCTGGCAATCACCGCTGCACTCCTGCTGCTGTTAGAGCAGCATTTGTAGTTTCCATGTATGACTGAGATTGTACAGGACTCGTCTTCCTGTGCTCGAATTACTTCACTTCACATAGAGTTTCCAAGGTCACCCATGTTCCAGGAATAAATGATTGGATTTTATCCTTTGCTATGGCTGAATTTAATGTCTTACTATACACAAGTATCACAGTTTCTTTACCTGTGAATCTTCCAATGGACACCGACATTGTTTCCATTCACTGTTGTGAATAGCGCAATAAACATGGAGAGCAGATGCCTTTTGAAATACAAATTTCATGCCCTTCAGATATATAAACCCAGTTGTGGGATTGCAGGATCATAAACTTCCTGAGAAAACTTCATATTATTTTCTATAATAATATGAACTAATTAGTTTCTATAACTAATTTACATTCTCATTAACAATAAAGAAAAGTTCCCTTTTGGGCCAAGAATAAAGTTCAGTGGTAGACATTGTCCAAGTTAGAGCTCCAGCACTGAAAAAAAAATCCTTTTCTCATACACGCTCACTAATACCTGTTATCTTTCATCCTTGGCAGTAGCCATTCCAACGATGGTGAGGTGGCGTCTACGAAGGTTTTGATTTGCGCTTCCCTAATAATTAGAGGTCTTGTTTTTGTTTTGCTGATGAGTCATTTGAGTTCCTTATATATCTGAACCCTTTCTCAGATGCATTGCAAGTGTGCGCTGCCATCCTGGAGGTTGTGTCTTCATTCTACTGATGGTTTCCTTTCTTGGGCCGAAGCATCTGTCTTGCTGCGTTAGTATATGTTTGCTTTTGTTGCCTATTTCTGAGGTCTTCCGAGTAATGCAACCCTATGTATGATTTATAAAGCTCTCAATTTTAAAAAAGCAAGACCACCAAAATTTACCAGCATTACACTGTCACTAATGTGCAACTAACCAGTTGAGGTTTTCACAGTTAATGATCATTTATGTCCATTTTTATTAATCATAAGGTTTTTAATTTCAGTCCCCTTGCATGCTAATGTTATAGTTGCAAACATAGGACAAGATAAGTAAGGCTTATTGAAATGGAGTTCAGCGCAGCAGCAGGTGATTTACAATTCCAAGTGACTTTTCTTTACAAAGATTTGACTGTGGTCAACTTTGAAGAGCAATGGTAAGTGCTGGACAGCTCAAGCTCCAGATGGGTTGGGGTAGAGGGGCTGGGGCTCAGTTAATCAAAAAAAATGCAGGATGCCCTGTTCCGTTTGAATTTTAGATGAACAGAGACACAATGAATCTTGTATTACTATAAGTGTGGATACTTATGCATTATTTTTATTATAAGCATGGAATTTGGAACATAACTCATGGTAAAACATCATTCACTGTCTGAAAGTTCAAGTTCATTCTGGTATTGAATGTAGTGACCGTGGGACTGAGGACTAATGGGTGCCTGCGGCATGCGGCGAAGTGCTCAGATGCGTGGCATTTCGGTCTGCAGACCCCGAGAGTCTGTTTCCAGAGCAGTGCGTTCCCAGCTTCCCAGAAGGAAAGGCTTTTCAGATATGGGTGAAAGGACAGAGGCTTTTGCTTGTGGGAGTGGTTTTCCAATCTGGTCCCTGCTGTTTAATTATTCACTTTTTAGTGATGGCACTTTGTCAGTTAAGTTATCTCCCCCAGGATGCCCATTTAAATTTCAACTTGAATTTCAGATAAACGGTAGATGAATTTTAGTCTGTCCCAGATGGATAAATGTCACGAAGGTTGTCTTCTTCCTTCTGCGTGTATCTGGCTCATGCTCCCAGGGGAGGCCGGCCTCCCACACCATCCTCTTCTACTCACCCCCAGTTGAGCAGTAAGGAACAGGGAAGTAAGCAAAGGTTCCCAGGTTATTCGCTCCCCGTCCCAGGCTGTTTGCTCCCTCCTGACTGGAGGGCATCAGAGCCTTACTTGAGAGTGAGCAGGAGCTGCCCAAACATGCATGGTGACTAATACCTCTTATGACAGCTCCACTGAGAAGCACGGCAGCCTGTTTTGGAACACTTGGAGAAGCAGGGTTTTTTTTTTTTTCCCTGTTAAGCACCATCCTCCTTATCATTTATTACGTGGCTCCTTATTATTTATTGTGTGACTGTGTGTTGCTCACTGTATCAAAAGTGTAGAAAGTTCTTTATATTAACCCCAAATTTGCATATCTGACGGTTGGAAAGGGTGTCCCTTTCTTGTGTCTTTGTTCAGCCTTCATGCACGTCTGTTTTTTTCTCTTACACATGCAACTTTGCAGTTGGGCTAGGTGAACTGGTTACTTCAACAGGTGATTCATTTGGGCTGAACTTTACTCTGAGCCAGGTCCTCTGTTCCAATTACGTTTCCCTAGTCCCCCACAGCCTCCTCATTTCCTGGCCACTGAGTAGGTTTTCCATAGCATTATATTCCTAAACACAAATCTCCAGTGACGTGGTACAAATACTGCAGGGGCTAAAGAGGTACTGGTCTAAAAGGTTTGACAAGCCCACATATAAAAGATAAACCCCATTTGTACATGCCTGCAGAGAGACAAAGCTCTACGAATGTGTTGTAAACTCGAAGGTGAGGAGACGTGGATGAAGTACCAGCTCCTCTCAGCACTGATGGCACTGGCTGGGGCAGATAAGTACCCCTGCCTGGTGTGCCCCTACTGCCCTGCAAGGAGGCCCAGGAGTAACTAACCGCTCAGTCTCTTTCCCCACTGCTTTTGCAGAAGGAAGGAAGTAGAAATAGGTTTCGTGTTAATGACTTGGTTTAGGGCTCCCGCTTTATGGCTGGCTAGCCTGAATTAGTTCGTATCTCTGTTAACAATTCATCCTGTGCCACAGTGTGCTAATCTAGAGGATAGGGCGCTGCCTGCTTCACAGTGGGGCTGTGAGAAATAGATGAGTTTATTCATTCAGGGTGCTGATAATAACAGGCACATAGTAAACCAGTTAACTATGATAGTAATATTGAAGTCAATTGTCTTAAACTTTGGTGCTGTAGAAGACTTAGCAGTCTGGTGAAGCAGACTTGATTCCTACGTAGCTTTTTTTCCCACTTTGATACCAAGTTCAAACTCAGGATCTTGGGCATGATAGGCAAATGCTGTACTACTGAACTGCACCCCCTACCCCAACATCATATTTTTATTTTTAACCA